CTTATACCATGCTTTTTCGGTCATCCCACACTCGGACCGAATAACGTGGAAAGGGCGCGAGTGCGGACAACTGACGGGAGTCGTTTGCTCGAAATTTTGGTACAGTGCCTGGAAACCGGCGGAATAGTGCTTGACATGTACTGGACATGAATAGTGCTGGACATGTACTGTGCCATGGGTTCATTAAAATTATAATTTACATTTTGCCGTCATGCTCCTGGTTGAGTTAGTTGGGGTCGGCGCGTACATAGCATGCGACACGTGTGCAGCTGCTCACCAGTCTTCTGTTCTCTGGTGTGGTAACAGCGGTTTGGCATCGGCGACTAGTGAATTAAGCTCTAAAAATTATTTGGACCGTACTGGGCACATTTGTTGCATCACGCAGAGGCTGGATTATTAGCGCATCGCTTGTGGGCCAGTCAGTTAAAAAGGTACAACAATCATGTTCTGCTTGACGCATTGGGTTGATGAGTGTGGCATGGTGTGTGTAATTGAAATACAAGAACAATCATGTTCTGTTTGGCCTATTACTTTTTAATATCGTCTGATGTGCTTGATGGCGTGCGTAACATTCATTTTAAGAACGGAAATGAGTGACATGCCAAACGCCTACCTAGTTCGAAAGCCATTCCATTTGGTCAACATGTGCACTGTACATTCACGCTGACACACATTACGCTTTTGCATTTACCCATGTACTCATTACATTGTGTCGCGGTGGCATTGTGGATCACTGCAACGCCGCCCATGTCGCCTTTAGTGTCGGAACAGGCGCACTAATTCGGCACGCCTGGCGACGCAGCGCGTCTATTGGCCGCCGCGTCATGACAGACCGGCTCTACTTCCACAATGAAGTCCTCGCGTCATCTTGTTGAGCAGGAAGTGCTGCCATCCCGTCATCCGCGCGCCGCCGTCGCCAGGCAACCAGTAGAGATACGCTCTGGAATGGCGAAAAAATGATGATTGTTGGCATAATTACCGTTTTGCGGCGTATGACCACACTCGTTATAGTAAGGGACGTAGGTAAATAGACAGCAGAACAGGCGCTTGCACGCGTGCTTTGCTGCGCTGATGAAAAAAGCTAGAAATTTTTGATTGTACATCTTGTGCGGTTGGATCTACGCCTCCACCTGGTCTAGGGGCAGGGACATGGCTCAAAACGTGAAAGAGGCTTCGCCGTAGGCCGGCGGTAGAGGGCTGCTTACCGGTCGCCACATCGTTCCTCCTTTAAAAAGAATCCAATGCAGATCTAACGCACGCAATATTAATATTGAAAACGCTGGACAGAGCCTTTTATTTAGTCTCACACGCGGAGTATTCCTCAAAAACCAGCAGAGCATTTTTTGACCACAGGCCCGCGGTAGCGGGCTGCTTACCAGTCGCCGCATCGGTCCTTGAAACGAATCCAATGCAGATCTAACGCATGTAAGACAGTAGTAGTATTAGCCCTATTCCTCGGAAAAACCCAGGAGACTGGATATAGTTAGGTTGATATTTCGGCAACATGCCCTTTTCGAAACAAAAACAGAAGTCTTCATACTGGATGCGCTGGACGGTGCCTTTTCTCGAAGTCTCAAACGCGGAGTATTCCTCATAGAGCAACGGAACGTTTACGATGGCATGTGGATGGCCAACCATTGTACTCGCCAACCAATGCCATGCGAAATGCCTTGAATATGACACTGCATTGCGGGGGGTTTCAGTTCAGAAAGAATGGCATTGCTAATCAAGCTTATTTCGCCCGGATCCTATCGATTTGCCTACACATCTGCTATGCAGTTGAGAAACAATGACATTTGCTAATCGGTGAACACCAGGCTTATTTCGCCCGGATCTTGTCTCCAGCTGACTCCGATACGCAGCTTGACACTTCTGGCTTGTGGTCCACGCCGATTGAGGCATTGCTTCACACAAAAGATCGCTGACCGGAAACCGAACTCGCTTGCCTCGGCAGGACGCTGTCCGAGCCGCACTGATCAGGTTGCGCCACGAACGAAAACCTCATGTAACAATGGAAGCGGAAGATTAGCATGCGCCTTGATTTCGCGCCATAAGCCATAACGTACCTCCGCTCAGGAAGATCAACTTCAGCACGGGCTGCAATGGACACTGAATACCGGAAATATCTTTGTTTTTGACACACATTCACAAATTGAAAGTTGCTTTGATTATTTTGTATATTTTCACTATAATTTATGATATTGCTCCGCGCATTTTGCCCCGCGTGCCCGCGATGGAGGTACAAAGTTGAAGATCCAGAATTGCTGCTTTTGTCACCAAAATACACGCTCTGATCACCAACGGAATCAGCAAGCCAGGACGGCCAATGGTAGCAGTTAAAATCAGGTAAACTGAATCGACCACACACCAGGGCTTAAACCTGTCATTACAGGCGGACGGGCATGGGCAATTACCAGAAATGAATTAAGTCGTAATTCGCGACCAAAAGCAACCACTTATCGCCCACCGTAGCTTCACTGGCATCAGCTTGTGGCGATGCTATCCCACCCATGGCGGTATGGGGGCTCAAGTCACTAAGGACGTGCTCGCGGGCGCACATCCAGGATAATCAAGCACAGGAACGGGGGATAAATGTAGGGGGGGGGGGGGGGGGGCAGCCCAGCGAAAACTCGTCACGAGGGGTGATAGCAGGGTGAGGCTCTGCATTCTTGATCTTGACTGCGTATATGTACGCTCGCTATTTGGCTTCTAACTGGGACGGTCTGCAGCGCCAACTCTTGGGACACTGCAATCGGGCCCTTGATAGGGTGCGCCTAGGGTTGTTTTCTTCAGTATAATAGTAGATAAGTGACCGCCCCCCCCCCCCCACCTCATAGGTTTTCTCGGCAGATGTTTGTCATCCGCGTGCTTCGGGAACAAGAGTGTACTTCCCAAATGTCGATAATTTTAATGAGCCGTTGAAGTTTGATTCGCACTGTGACTGAAAAACTTACCTATATATGCTCACAAAGTTACCACCTTGAAGTTGTATTTTGGCTTCAGAAGCAATTACTATCTTTTTACAAGTCATGCACTTGCACAATAACCTTCACTGACACCTCGATCTTTCGCGGATGCGGTTCCTTTGCACAAATTGTCGGGAACCGCATCGCTTTCAACGACACTTGCTTTTAAATGAGCGTTGTGCCCATGTAAACACAAGGGCATGTTCGTTTGAGGTGCACACCCTGCATGGGTACCAGTATTTCTGTGCACCTTCAGATGTCCATGTCTAAGCCTTGACGCCTGTCGGGGGAAGGATCTGTTCGGTAGCAACGTCACGTGCATATCTATGGCCAGTGGTTACAGCGATACCACCTACCGTGTTCGCGTGAGATGAATCAATGGAAAAGGTCAAATGAAACCTCGGTAACATATTCATTTATGACCATGGGACGGACAGTTTTTTTTGGGGGGGGGGGGGGCTCAGTACCTCAGACGAACGTGCCTGCCCGGTGCGGCTGGCCCACCACTCCGCAGGTGCGTTGTGTTGTATGCCAAATTTTAATGACATGTCAAGCCCGTGGATTGGTAAGAGATCTCATTGCATTGGTTTTCCACAGAACGTTGTCTATTCATGGGAAGTCATCCCTGATGTACTCAATACGATGCCGCAAAATGATGTTGAAAAACTATTTGTTAGGCCCTTTTGAGAAAAAAGACATCCAAACAAACAAAGGACAATTAGCAAGACAAGAGAACGACACCGAATGACGAACTGGCGCATTGAACGAATTGAGGACTGGCAACATTACAGTTTTCATTAATCAGTGGTAAGCAGGAGTACAGGTGTGCAGTCAAAATCATTTATGACGCATAATCGCAAGAAGCGACCAGGATTTTTGTGGGGGAACGACCAAACTTCCAGCATTCCAGATATTCGGGACGCTGAATCACTCACCAATCACGTCAGGCAATTTATGCATCCTGAGGAACTTTTCTTTCACTCATTGCAGCTGGAGCTGCACCTGTGGTCATGCAATTGTTTAACCAAAAGCCAGGGCCAGGGCTGAAGCACGAAGTGCATCAAAAGGCATAGTGACTCATGAAACAGCATCACGGCACTGCGCCGGATAAGCCGTCAAAACAAACGTGCACTTTGAATTTAATTGCACTTTAAAGTGAGCGGCTTGGGGAGCAACAGGTGGATTTCAGACAGTCTGCCAGTGTCAACTCAATTTATCTGCATTTTAACGTTTTATTCCAACCAGTTGTCTCATAACGCCGGTGTCACCGGTCCGACCAGCGGGCCGCCCCGATCCGCAGGGGTCCCCGCTCCCGCCCAGCAGCGGTCAGCCGCCTCTCTTCACTGACCTTGTCCGTGTAAAAGTGTAACGCCCTGGAATAGTGAGTGTAGGCCTCGCCAAATATCAGCTGGCCAGTCGGGCCGGTATATAAGGACCCGCTGACCGGTGCAGGGCATCACTAGATCCCTGCACTCCGCAGAACACACACCCTACTCCGAGATGAAGCTGGTGAGTGCATGGGTCCTTTGAGTCTGGCCGGTATTACTTGCTGCCAGCAGTGGGTCCAACATGGTGTGGTTATGGTAGCTTGGGAGGGGGGGGGGGGGGCAAGTGTGCTTGCAACAAGTCTCAAAGTATTTGCCAGCTACACCAAAATCAGGTTTTTGGTTTAATCAATGGTTCAGATTTGGGCTTTTTCTACTCTCATGGAATCCACCATTGCACTGATTCTCTACTTTCCTGGATCCAATCTTCTCAGCAGCAACAAAACGGTCTTATCCGTCGTTTATCCAGCACAACATGAGAGTTTAGCGAGTGAGCAAAGCGCTGATGTGATAACCTCGTGCATGCCAACATTCCAACCACGACTCTGACAGGCCTGGTTGTTTTCCAAACCCGAAGTTTTGAGTACCGAGGTACCGTAAATAAAGGCCGTCATTCCAGACCAGAATAGTGATGCGAGTTCTGACGTCAGCTCATTTGGTTTCAGGTCATCGTTGCTGCCGTCCTGGCCGTTGCTGCCGCTGACAGGCGGCCCTCGTACTCCGCCCCTGCCCCGCCCTCGTACTCTGCCCCTGCCCAGCCCTCGTACTCTGCCCCTGCCCAGCCCTCTTATTCCGCTCCTGCTGCCCCCAAGTACGCCCCCAAGGTGATCGAGATCCTGAGCCAGGAGTTCGATCTGCGTGACGACCAGTCCTACGATTCCAGGTGAGAAAGATAAGCCCTTTTCGCACGGATTCTTTCAGGTTTTATAATTAGTGGATTAATTTATTTATTGGATAATCATGCCTATGGGGTGCGCACCTTTGCATTTTCCATCTATTTTTTGTTGACCAGTTCCAAGCAAGACTTACAACTATGAGTATTAAAACCCCAGTTTCCGTTTTACCCCGACATTAAAGTTTTGTATGACATACTTGCATCCTCTGTGAACACGCCGTCAAACTCACACGACGAAAAATATCATTGACAAAGTTATTCGCATTTCCACAGCTACCAGACTGCGAACGGCATCTACGCCTCCGAGTCTGGTCAGGCCGTGGCCGGCTACGGAGATGAGCAGAGCTACGCCGTCCAGGGCCAGTACAGCTACACCGGCGACGACGGTGTCAGCTACACCGTGACGTACGTGGCCGACGCCAACGGCTTCCAGCCGCAGGGTGACCACCTGCCGACTCCTGTGCCCACCGAGTACCCGACCCCGGAGGTGCCGGTGGCCCAGGCCAGCTACCAGGCGGCCCCTGCCCCCAGCTACCAGGCTGCCCCCGCCCCCAGCTATCAGGCTGCCCCTGCCCAGAGCTATCAGCCCGCCCCCGCACCCAAGTACCAGCCCAGATACCAGTGATCGTAAGTCAAGTGTTTCCTGTCCATCGTTGGGATAAGAGCAGTATACACCGACTACGCTTGTATGTTTGTCTATTTATGGTGATGTTTGAATGGAGCGTTTTGTTTGATTGCCCTGTGTGACTTTTCAATACATGTGCATCTCCCAAGAAATACACTGTTTATTGGATATGAAGGCGGCATGCTACAGTCAACCAGAGCACGTCGTATTAACTAAATTAGCTGATCACCGGCCTGCTGTGCTGGAGGAGCCCTGTTATCTTGAAAATGTCAAGTGTTTCTCCGGGTGGAGAGGAAAGCTGGCAATGACAGTTGCTGTCCCTTGGTGGCGGCGGGCTACTTCCGCGGGTCGCAGCAGTGTTTGTGGAGAGGAAAGGTGATGAGGTCAGTAGCTGTTTCTTGGTTGTGACGTTGCAAGAATGCAGCCAAACGGAAACACGATAGGTTTCATGTTCAAGACGGAGCTTTGGTCAGTCACGTTGTCGATATGGTCTTATGATCTCCGTTGGTCTGAAACAACCTTATGAACGACCTTTTCAACCCTTATCTATACGCTGTGTTCTTGTACAGCTCCGCAAGTGAAAAACTTGGGGTGTGTAGCTGAAGTGGTTAACAGCTAAGAGTGTAGATCACGAGCATGAAAATTTCAGAACAATTACGTTGTGCTCTTGCCATCACAACGAACCAAAAAGTGGTTTGCTGGGTTAAATTATGCGCACTAATGTTGGTATTTAGTATTATTTTATCACGAGCTCCGGCGAATATGGCTGAAAAACCACAAGTGTGCTGGGTCACTATCCAGGAATTTTAGTAAACGGCGGAGACTGAAAATTGTGTTAAACGATAACCACCATCACCTAGTCCCAACTAACGACAACATCAGATGATTTTACAGAGAACAACAGAATTTTAGTAAACGGCAGAGACTGAAAATTGTGTTAAACGATAACCAACATCACCTAATCCCAACGTCGACATGGTTGGTCGACAAGTCGACAGGTAAACCCTAACCAGCAGCGTAAGTGTTGAAACAAGGAATGGTGGTAGGCAAGGACACATCTATGACGTATCTCCTGACCTCTCGCCCAGAGTCAGTAGATCGACCTCAACATTGTCCAAAATATTGACGGCGAAATGCACTTGGGTGGTATACCCGAATAAATATCAGGCTACAATCGGAGCCATGGGTAATACAGTGGCACGCGAAGTGTTGGGTTAAATGCTCTGGTTAACGAATCATGCGGCTAATGGCAAGCAAGGTTTTCTACCGGGGTCGTTACCCGCTGGCGCATCCCCAAAAACTTACCACAACTCACCGCAACAATGTGAGCACGTGGTGCCGCCAAACCCGGGTCGGTATAGCTATCACTCTGCTTGACAACCCCGTCTCGGCATCCTCACCTCTGGAACAAAACTTTGTGATTCTCACTGTGACAAGTCCGCTTGTTTTGAGTGGTTTCCTCTCTCTGTGGCAGATACTTGTAGTAATGCGGTAAAGAGCGGTGTTATGTCATTGTAATATTTGTGTAAAAAAACATTCGTTTTATATTATTATAGATAAGACAATACATATAACCTTAATCCCCGTAGAATAACCCGAAGAAGGAAGATAGATGGATTAATCCCCCTATCCACCCATCCAAATCCATCCTTTCCCATTCTTCCGGTTATTCTACGAGGAGAAGTGTTGTCTTATTACCTACATGCATAATGCTCCTCGCAAATGCGCGTACCAGCTTGCGTCATATTATATTTACGGTTACATTTCAGTCCGTTTTTTAAGAAATATGATCAACTTAAAAACAGGCTTAAAAAACCTATTTGAGTTTCCAATTGCTCAGTCCACGCACAAATCCAGGCAGTTTTGCACGTCTCCCACAAAGGTATAGTGTGCGGGCTCAGTGCACAGGCCAGGCTGTGAGGCTCAGTCCGCACACACCACCTTTCGGCCGTGCCGCACATCCACGCCACTGACTATCAGGTCAGTGCACGCATTACAGCTTGCGCCCGTGTCACGCGTCCCTCGCACATGTTGTCATTGTCCTAGAACCGGCCTTGCCGGCATTTTAGATGCAGCCACCTGACTGTCAGAAAAGAAATAGGGGGGGGGGGGGGGTAGAGCGCCAGTCTGTATCAAACCAATTTCAGGGCGGGTGATCCTTGGTGCTCTATACACATGTCCACGAAGTGACAGTTCCGGAACAAATGCAAACAAACTCCGGAGATTGCGCCAAGTGTGTCAGCTTACAATAACTGCAACAGTTGCCTTTTCCAGATCAACACGCTTTGTTCGATGTAACTAAATTTCTGTAATTCCTGTAAAAAAAGCTTTCTCACCCCAATGGAATTAACTGTTGCCTAGTCATCTCCGAATCGTCTACCTGGAAAACGACAAATATGCTTATCTGAAAACTTCCGTATCTGTCTGCATGGTCACCGTGTATGCCGAGTCCCGGTGTATGCTGCGATCTTAATAAGTGTATGTGTTTTGCTTAATGCCAAAATGGCATGTGGGTATTATCATGCATAGCTAAACCAGCGTGGAGAGCACGATATGTATCTGTGATGCCGTCCTTTTTAGGTGGAACAACGCTAACTGTACAACTGACGAGCTTCTGTGTGTTTTATACAAGTGCTAGTGTGCTCCAATAATGACATTTATTCCAACACTGAGCACAGTTCGCTTGACCACGGCCACTCACAAGTCGCGACGATATGGACCCACATGCTGTCATCTGTGCGAAGTCTCATGGGCGGCACGCGCGTCCGCGTGAGCCTCGGTAAGGTCTGGCTATGTTTTGGCGGCGGTCGCCACTTGCTCAGTGCTTTGTGACAACATTTGTGCTTTGTAACGAAATCTGATCTTTCGTTATTTTATATAGCTCCTGATAATACGGTACCACTGAACATCCCAAAAGGAAATGTACGATCAGAGCGTAATGGGGCATAGTAGACTGCTCCGGCATAGCCGTGGGAGCAATGGAAGTTCCAAGTTGAGCGGGGGGGGGGGGGGAGGGGTGGGAGGCGATAGCCATTTTGATTGCTTCTTGCCTGTCAACTTTGCAGACATTGTGCCAATGCCAAATGTTGAAAATTGGGATTTATCGCCCTCTCTGATATCCGCACCCATGCGTAGGTGTATTCACTTTCTAAGCTGCGTTAATTTGAACGACTTTCCTGGATATGAGGTCGTAGGGCACATCATCGTGCTAGCCATTTAATTATACCTGATCGGATCAAGGCTATTTAGGCCTACCGCTCATAGTCTTATCGTTACTGACCAGAAGGTTGCCCGATGCTCAGGCTGTCTACCTCCAACAGCTCGCCCACGCTTTGACTTGCCACGCTTTGATGCCCACGCTTTGACTTGTCGAGGTGAATGCGCTTAAACCTTTAGGCATGTAAACTTGTAATTAATGCATCATTATACTCACTATTCATTGTACGCATTTGGCCGCTTGGTTATATGCGCCCACCCTGAGCAGTTTGTTCATAATTGGTACATAGACGGCCCGCTATCCTGGCCGCCCATCTCTGCAGCAGTTCTCACGTAAGCGTTTTAAAGTCTCACGCCTATTTCATTACAATGGTTGGCTGCGGAAGCTTGCAAAACACGTCATCGTATTCGACGTTAAATTCTACGCGATTGACCCGTTATTCATACGCACCTGACGCTAACAGTTTATCTAATTATCTATACAGAGGCCCCGATGTTATGGCCGTCAAATCTATTGTATCGTAATGGTCATTACATTGTAATGGCTACTGGCATAAACTTGCAGGGCATGCCATTAGAGTCGCCATTGCATTCAACGTAATCAGCTCACAAGTCACAGGCACCTTCCGCTCACGGTTTGGTCATTATGTGTTCGAATATTTCTGATGTGCCGGCTGCCACGCAGCGCACGCCCCATGGCTAGCAGCCGAGCATAAGTGAAGCCTTGGCACCAATGATGTCACCGCGTCATGCGGAGCGGCTGGATATCCTGAATTATGCACGGCGTCGGCACGCCCTTATGCCTATGCACGGCATCGCACTGGTCGTAGGCACAGGAGCCGACGCACACTCGAGTAACACGGAGGCTCCGTGTACCCACCCGAGTTACTGTCAATACTTTGTAGCAGGCCTTTTTCCTCATGTAAGCGAGGAGCTTGTTGGCCATGCCTACTAGCTCACCTAGAAGCTTTGGTGGCAATGATCGCTTGCCACCGACGATGCCACGGATCACGCGGTGCTCGCTTGTGGGTCTCGCCGTCTCTATGCGCCATTAGATGTCTTCGCGATGGTCGGATTAGCTGACTGCACGCCCCTGACCACCCAAGTTGTCTGTGCGTCGCTTCGGTGTGACGAAGGGCGCAGTGTTGTGGCTGCCGGGTTGTGAGTCTGAACTTTCCGCTATGTGGGCAAGCTCATCAAGCAGCGGTTTCACGATGGCCAGGAACGCATCCCACCCTTCAGATTGTCTTTTTATCAAATCCACTATAGGCATGTTGCTGGAGTTTTGGGCGGTTTGTCATCAACATTTTCCATCTTCTGCCTCAGCTCAACACTGCTTACCTCATAAGACATAATCATGGCGTGTTCTCTTGGTCGATCTTTCCCAACGTTGATCACATTTCATGTTGAGACGTGCTATGATGTAGGCACGTCGTATCTATAGGGGATTCCTGTAACCAATTGCGGTGCATTACACTTCATGATGAATCGACACTAAAGAATGCGTTTGTGTCCGGTCACTGAAGGTCCAGTCAGAAGAACAAAACGTCGAATGAAGAAAAATTCGTGACAGTGATATATGAAAAGCTGTCACTCTATTTGGCAAATGTTGCGTTGCAATGTTGGTATATCGTAATAATGTGATATCGCCCAGATCTCAAGATTTGATAACTGCTCTCCAGCGTGCTTGGATAGCATGGTCTCGCGTGATTTGCGACCCAACGTCGTCTCACTGCCATACCATATTTGATTGCTGAGATATCGGGGTTGGGGCTGAGGACATAGAGCGGGACTTTTTGCACTTGTGTAGCTTAATTTGGCGATTTTCGGATCTTATCCACGCTTACCACTCATGTGTTATTACTGGTGGTACTTAAGCGTAGTGCAAAATATACAGCAGAGCCTCCCGGACCGTCGTCGCACGATAGTTCTGGAA